CTACATGAGACCAAATCTTACCCAGTATTCCTTGTATGATCCACTTGTAATGAGATCCCCTGGCTCATTTCTGAATTCTGACTCTGTGAGGACCCACAGGAGACATGGTAAGTCTCTTGGTAAATTAACCCAAGAGACAAGAGCTAGACAACAGAACTTCTCCCCTGAGAGTCTCTTCCTAACACAGAGTTTAAGAGGTGCAGTTCTTCTAAAGGTAAAGCCAGCAGGGCCAGAGAGACTCAGTGTGGATGTCACCTTGTACTTCAGCCAGAGTCTAGTGTAATGTAAGTGACCTAATAACCTAATACAGCTGACATAGAACTTAATAAGACTGAGCTTTGAAAAGACATCAAGATTCTGTTATTTATCTTTCAAAGAAAATGACAATAAAATATCTTAGACTTAAAATGATCTTTTGTAAATAAGTCACAATTGCCTGGTGTGTTATAAACCAGAAAAGAATACAGCCAGATTTCACAGACCCCCAAGAAGGTGGGTAGATTATTTTCAGTTTGAGGAGGCTTCTGTATCAAAAAAAAAAAAAAAAAGGTATGGTTTTATTGCATCATTTTATTGGTTATTCAAAAAGTTCTTGTAATCATCAGTTTCTTAAGAAGTCAGTACCTCTATCCCTGGGCTGGAGCCTTGAAACTATTTTGTTTTAAAAGGAAAGGAAAGGAGGGAGCAAGCAGAGAAGGGAAAGAGAAGGGAGTAGAGGGAAGGGAAGGGAGGGGAAGGGAGGAGAGGGGAGAAGAGGGGAGGGGAAGAGAGGGGAAGGGAAGAGTAGGGAAGCTTGACAAACAGGTACCGTCCTCAATTTTTGGCTGCACAATTCCTTTACACACACAAAAATAATTACAGGGCCTTAGCTATCCTTGCATATTCAAATTTTTTAAACCACAGATTCTGTTTCCAGGCACAAATTTTGCTTATAAAGATTAAAATATTTGGGGGCTTCCATGGTCGTTGTGAGAAACATCTTCCCTTTGCAAATCATATTTCCTTTACACCCTCAAATTGTGTTTTCCTCTCCACTTTATTTCTCTTTTTCCTCTAGTAGGAATATTGACTTCATGACTAAGATTTTGATGCATGAGCACATTTCAGTATTTTTACTCTCCCACAGGGTTTTTATCCTTCTGGAATGTATAAATCATTTTGAAAGCTCCTTTCTGTTCTATACCGTGCTTTTGAGATTATCCACTGGTTTGTTCCTTACACAGAAATACCCTTAGGGTTCAGCCACAGAGAAGGCTCACATTTGGGGGGCAGAAGGGCTGCTGCTACTGTGCTCAGCTGCACTCACTTCTGTTTGGGCAGACTCAAAAAAGCAACCAGCAGACAAAAAAAGGGGGGCAGTCATCTGATGCTAACATAGTCTTTGAGTTCATGAGTCACATTCTAACCACTGAGAACTCACGCTAGCCAACCTCCACAGGTGAAGCCAACCCACTCATTCCACACATTTCTTTGGCTCGGTGGTATCCTCTGTGACTTCTTCTCCCTCCCCAAGGCAAACATGGTGCTCATTGCTTCCTGATTTTGTCTGTGTAGGACTGTAGGAAGACCGTGGAGGACTAATAATGCAATTTTCTCCTGCACGTCAGACTTCTCCCTCTCGTCCACCAGTACCTCCCTCATTTCCAGGAATAATAACAGCCTTATATTCGACACTTGAGCCATAATTTCTCATGGTAACAATTTTAGATTGCTTCTGCACCTCAAACAGTGATAGGTTAAACATACAGACAACTAGGAAATTGCCCTTAATCTGTAAGGGATTCTAAAATACCCCTGGATATGTAACAAAATGGAGTAAAACACATACTAGAACTCCTCTCAGGAAGAGTGATATGGTTTGGAAGACTGCTTGAAAATATCAGGGTGAGCAGATGGCACCTATTCTAAGAGTTATACATGGCCACTAATGTGTGCTTTATGAAGGACAAAGTCCAATGACTGCAGGACTTTTTATTTGTTTGTTTGGGCTAAGAGGAGTGTTGTACATTTCCTTGTAGTTGAGCTTCTAGGGCAGACAGCAGGGTTTTACTACTCCCTCACATACTACATGCCTTTCTTCCAAATAAATACTAAGCAATGTGGGAAGAACATTGAAGGGGCAGTTCTTGCTTCCACATCTTTATCTGACCTGTCTTTTTGTGATTATTTCCCCAAATTTTAGAACTATCTTTTCTTAAGATATCCTTTTGTTGCCTATTCAATCCAATTTAAAGGTGTACCATAGGCACCAACTTCTTTTTTTCCTAGGCTATGTACCTGGTTTACTTTCCTTGCATTGAATGGGTATTGGCCATCCTGTCTATATCTTTATAACTTCTTCAAAGAAAGTAAATTCGTATTTACATGAAACATATTTACAATAAATTGGTGACTGATTTGGGGTGAAAGTAGTGCCTTCCAGCTTCTACATTAAAGATATCAGAATATTTTTTCTCTTCCTATCTCAACTGAGTTTTCTATTTTCTCTCTTTCTCTGCTCCAGATATGTCTATAGTATTCCTGACTCAACATCTCCTTAGCCGTGTTTTGTCAATCATTGCAATAGACTCATCAGGAAAGAGAAAAGATAAATGAGATTCGTTGTTCTCACCTAACATATTACAAAATTCTTCTTTGCTTCCTGTAATCAGGCTTTCCAGCTAAGATTCTATTGGAATTGTGGCCAATAAGGTAATCAGTGGTCTCCTTGTTCAATTGAATATCTGTTCTCAGTCATCCTTCTTAACTTCTCCAAACTATTTATGAGCCATAATCTTATGCTCAAAATTATAGCAATTTAAAATAAGAGTAATAATTATCACTGCAAATGCAGCAGTGTAAAAATTTAAAGTTTTCTGTAATCTCACCCCTCCACAACCTAACAGTTAATTTGTGATAATATCAGCTGCATATTCTTTGGACTTCTTTTTTCTATTGATATAAATATTTATGAACATTCACACACACATACACACACACACAAATATTCTTAACCATATGGCAGCACACCATACTATTGTTCTTTAAATAGCTTTTTTGTTGTAATTTGATGTATTCGACACATCTATCCATGTTAAGACATTACAACAGCACAGTCCAGCAGCACTTTCACCAATGATGGAAATATTTGATAGATGGTAGCCACTAGTCATATGCAGGTTTTTAGCACATGATATGTGACTGATGAACTGAATTTTTAACTTAGTTGACTTGAATTTACATAGCCATAGCTCTACTCCCTAAAAAGCTGCTTAGAGGTGCACTGTCACTCTCTTTAGTCATTGCCTGTCCAACTGGTATTTCAGTGGTCTTTCAGTGTAAATTGCTTTTGTGACACACTCACTTCTACTGTAAAGGTTTGCCTCCTTATTTTCCAGGATAGAGAATAATATTACCTGCAATGTTTCCTAGATTCCTAGTGGCAGTTCCCTAAATGTACCAAAATCCTCCAGCCTACTGTTGTTACCTTGTTCTTTAAGCAAAATGGTTCAAACCGCCATTTAATACATGATGGCAATGCCAGACTCCCTACCAAATTTCCAGGAAATATTGTCTGTGCTAAGAAGAGAGGGGGCAGAACAGGAGAATGCCTTGTATTTCTTCCAGTCATTACCAACAAGGAGTTCTTCTTCATCATTCTGGATTTTACCCCTTGCATGTGATGCCATTTTCTGCACTGTGCTGTCATGTAAAGCTCTTCTCTTCCTAAACACCACTAACTGAAAATTATACATGTGGAAGCTTTAAACAAAGCCTTGAGGGTCTTGGGGGAGTTTACATCACAATATAGTTTAGCAAAAGATTTTTAAAAATTTTTTCTTTTAAATATGTGGGGTACAATTCAGGGTTAGGAACAAATGTTCATTATGCAGGTACCCTTGTTGAGGAGGTGTGCCCCCCTCCTCTGGCAGTTTCCCACTACTGCCAATCCCGCCCCTACCCTCCCCAGCAAACAATTTTAAATAAAATATTACACCTCTTCATTCTTAAAATTTCCTCTGCCAGAAAGAAATCAGGGATTTCTTTGACTCAAGGTCCAACTTTCTGTTGTGTTGCCGGATCTCTTCTCTCTTTTCTGACAACCTCCCTTACTCTCCCTAGTTTACACATCCCCAAACCCTCAAGTCTCTGTTAATATCTACACAACAAATTAATTTTGTCAATGGTTTGTCTTAGACCATCCATGCTGGACCCAGAATACCCCATCTTCACTCCTAATGAAGTGTTTCTGAAGGTCAGCTCTCAACCTTGACTCTGCTCCCTCTGCACTATAACCTACAGCTATGTACCAGTGGCTCTGATTGAGTAAGCCCAAACTCTCTCACCTCCATTGTGTTTTCCTAGCTATGTGTACTTTCCCTAGGACAGAAATGGGGCAAAACTGGGATGGCATGGGATGGGACCACTGTGACACGTATATCACCAAAAAAAAAGCCTCTCTCCATGCACTACAAAAACAACAATTCATGATGACACTTTGAAAAGATATGGGCTGTGGTCTCACATATTAGTGATTCTTTGGCCAGAGGCATAAGGAATGACTGAGAAGACAACAAAAACAGAAAAGGAAAAAGAGGGCAAGGTAGTCATATAAGTTAGCATGCTGCTGATTATACAGCAATGATATTGACTTTTTTAAAGGTTTTCTCTATCCATTGCTTGTTCCCTGTTCTAAAATCCATATCATATTAAGAATTTCTTCACATTGACCTCTTACATTGCTTTCAGACATTGCAACCAAAGAATGCAGAGAAAGAACCTCACAGAGGTGACAGTATTTGTTTTTCTGGGATTCTCCAGATTCCATGAATATCAGATCACTCTCTTTGCGATTTTCCTTGTCTTGTACACATTAACCTTGGCTGGCAATGCCATCATCGTGACCATCATCCACATTGACCATCACCTCCACACCCCCATGTACTTCTTCCTGAGCATGTTGGCTAGCTCAGAGACAGTGTACACACTGGTCATCATTCCACGGATGACATTGCAACCAAAGAATGCAGAGAAAGAACCTCACAGAGGTGACAGTATTTGTTTTTCTGGGATTCTCCAGATTCCATGAATATCAGATCACTCTCTTTGCGATTTTCCTTGTCTTGTACACATTAACCTTGGCTGGCAATGCCATCATCGTGACCATCATCCATATTGACCATCACCTCCACACCCCCATGTACTTCTTCCTGAGCATGTTGGCTAGCTCAGAGACAGTGTACACACTGGTCATCATTCCACGGATGCTCTCTGGCCTCATAGCCCAGAATCATCCAATCTCCCTAGCAGGTTGCACCACCCAAGTGTTCTTTGTTACCTTGGCTATCAACAACTGTTTTTTGCTCACAGTGATGGGGTATGACCGCTGTGTGGCTATCTGCAACCCCCTGAGATACACGGTCATCATGAACAAGAGTATATGCGCCCAGCTGGTGTGTGGGGCCTTTGGCATTGGCCCAGCCATGGTAAGCTGTCCAGGTGGCATCCATATTCACTTTACCCTTTTGTCACAGGGTGGTCGGTCATTTCTTCTGTGACATCCTCCCCGTCATGAAACTCTCCTGAATTGATACCACTATCAATGAGATAACCAATTTCGTTGTCAGTTTATTTGTAATCCTTGTCCCCATGGGCCTGGTCTTCATCTCCTATGTCCTCATCATCTCCACCATCCTCAAAATTGCCTCAGCTGAGGGCCGGAAGAAGACATTCGCCCCCTGTGCCTCCCACCTCACTGTGGTCATCATCCACTATGGCGGTGCCTCTATTGCCTACCTCAAGCCCAAGTCAGAAAATTCTATAGAACAAGATCTCCTTCTCTCAGTGATCTATACCACCATCACTCCTCTGCTGAACCCAGTTGTGTATAGTCTTAGAAACAAGGAGGTCAAGGGTGCCCTATGCAGAGCTTTGGGCAGAAAAAGTTTTAGATACATTGATCTTCTTTAAAAATAAATATTTATCTGTAGTATTGTGCATCCTCGTTGCATTAAACAACCTCACAACTTTGTCTTGTACAGTCTGTTGGGAAATAGAATGTGGGTCGGGCAAGGTAGCTCAAGCCTATAATCCCAGCACTTTGGGAGGCCGAGGTGAGGGGATTGCCTGAGCCCATGGGATCGAGAACAGCCTCGGCAACTTGGTGAGACCTCATCTCTACAATCAATCAAAAAATTAGCTGGGCATGGTAGTGCATGCCTATAGTTCCGGTTACTTGGAAGGCTGAGGTGGCAGGATTGCCTGAGCCCAGCAGGTTGACGCTGAGGTGACTGTGAGTATGCCACTGCACTCTAGCCTGGGCAACAGAGTGAGACTTCAACTCAAAAAGAAAAGAAAAAGAAATAGGATGTGCACGCCTTGCTTCAGCGCCTTTACTACAAAATCTTAGCCTTTGTTTCCACATATTTCAGAGTTTTGTCCAGGCATTTTCAAATAGATATGTGAGAGGTCAGGGACAATGAACATGATTATTATTTTTATTTTATTAATAAATTTTTTATTATTTTATTTTAAAGATGTGGGGTACAATTCAGGGTTAGGTACATAAGTGGTCATTGTGCAGGTAAAAATTTGGGTACCCTTAAAAATATTCTTCATTTGCACACACCAAAGTGCCTCCTGAATAATGATGTTATGTGCCCTCCCTCCTCTGGTAGTATCCCACTATCGCCAATCCCTTTCTTATAGTATTATGCTAAATGTTCAGGATCTGCTTATGAGTGAGTACATGTAGTACCCAGATCTTTGTTTCTGTGATAAATCACTGAGAATTATAGAATCTAAATCCATCCAAGTTGCTGCAAAGTTCATAATTTTGTTTTTCTTTATGGCTGCGTAATAGTCCGTTGTGTATACGAACCACTTTTTCTTTATCCAGTTCACTTTCGATGGGCAGCACAGTTCATTCCATGTTTTTGCTGTTGTGAATAAACAGCATGATTTTTAAGGTAGCACACTGAAATTTCTGAAATGGAGCAATGAACTTTTTTAAGGCATCTTAAATGTGATTATTATACGTTTGAAAAATTTTTTAAATCCCTATCATTCATGTGGGACCTCATTAAACTGATAAGCTTCTGCAAAGTCAAAGAAACCATCAAGAGAGCAGGGAGACAGCCCACAGACTGGGAAAAAATATTTGCCAACTCCATGTCTGACAAAGGCCTAACATCAAAGATCTACAAGGAACTCAAACATGCTGAAAAGAAAAAAACAAACAGCCTCATTACAAAGTGGGCAAAAGTTATCAACAGACACTTCTCAAAAGAAGACATACGAGCGGCCAAGAGATTCTTGAAAAATGTTCGGACTCACTAGTCATCAAGGAGATGCAAATTAAAACTACACTGAGACACCACCTAACTCCACTCAGAATGGCCATCCTCGATAACAAACAATAACAGATGCTGGAGAGGATGTGGCAAAAAGAGAACACTTCTACACTGTTGGTGGGAGTGTAAACTAGTACAGTCTCTGTGGAAAACAGTGTGGCGATTCCTAAAAGTTCTAAAAATTGACCTTCTATATGACCCTGGAATCCCTCTACTGGGAATATGCCCGGAAGAACTCAGATCACTCTATGACAAAGACACCTGCACATGTATGTTTATCACAGCATTGTTCACAATAGCAAGAACATGGAATCAACCTTGCTGCACATCAAAAGAGGACTGGATTTTTAAAATGTGATACATATACACAATGGAATATTACACAGCCATAAAGAAGAACAAAATCATGAACTTCATAGCAACCTGGATAGAATTAGGGTTTAAAATATTGAGTGATCTTTCACAGAAACAAAGATCTGAGTATCACATGTTCTCACTCATAAGTGGACCTTGAGCAACTACCGTAATACTATAACAAAGGGATTGGCAGTAGCGAGAAACTGCGTGGGGGGAAGGGGGACTGGGAAGTGGGATTGACAGTAGTCAAGATCTGCCTGGGAAGTAGGGGGGCACACCTCATCAATAAGGGTACCTGCACAATGAATATTTGTATACCTAACCCTGAATTGTACCCCCACAATTTTAATTAGTTAATTAAATATTTTTTAAAATCCCTATCATTTTCATAATACAATCTACAGATAATTAAACTAGACAAAAGTCTTCCCAGCAAGGTAAGGATAATCAACAGTGATGGATTTCCCTGAATGAAAATTGTATCCGAATCTTGAGGGAAAGGTGAGACGTGTGTATTAAGTTTTTAAAAAATTAAGTTGGAAAACACTGGTTTCATCTTTGAAAATTTGGTCTTTATTAATCGATTTATACTAAATCCTTTGCTTCTACCCAGTATGGTCTTCAGAGTGCTGGTCATGGCCATAGATCATAACTCTCACCTCTCTAATCTTAGCATGCTAATCTGATTCTCTCTGGTGGCTCTCCGGAGAAACAACTTCTCTCTAATCACTATGAAGAAAAAAATCAATTGATCAAAAAGATTAGTGCCCTGTTTGGAATGAGAACCATAAAAATATTCTTCATTTGCACACATCAACACACCTCTTGAATAATATAAATAAAGGGGAAAAAATAGAACCAAACAGTGTCAGCAGTTGAGAGTAGTTTAGAGGTACAGTTGTTTTATCACACAACTCACTAAAAAAAAAAATTACACACACATACACACAAATTATTTCCCTACTAGATCTTTAGCTCTGCTTTGAGAAAAGTATTTTCCCCCAGATTTTCTGAGCCATTTCTGGTTTTATGCTTATACATACCTTATACATTGTTACCTTGGGTAATGGGTGATGATAGGAAGGGCTTAAGATTCTTTTGTTGAGTGCCTTTTTCTACTAAAATATTTTCTGTTAAGAATGCATCTCTTCTCATCTGTTTTTTTAAGGGCGTACATTTTTTTGTGTCCTCTCCACTGAGAAGGGATAGAATGGATCCCAAGAAGCTCATCTAAAATAAGAAATATCTTTGTAGACTTCCAAATTCTAGGTTGGGAAGACCAGAGCACTTCCAAGATCTGGACATCTTTTTCTAATTTCTGAAATGTTACTTTATAATTAATGCATCATAGAAAGAAGGCTTCCCATGGAAGCTTTTGGGAAGTCAAAGGCTGGGTCCAAGAGTCCTGTACTTGCTGTGAGGTCTTCCTTGCCAGCATTCTCAGAGTCAACCCACCAAGGATTCATACCCCCAATCCCAACAATGGCATCTCCTGATGAGTTGGGGGCAGCCTCCCTCCAGAATGAGAGTGTCTCTCCTGAGAGCATGGACTACGCTTCCCACTTCTATCAAGGTCCCCTTCGTGTACTGTTGACTCATAATTGTAA